ACGATTTATTATATAGGATTCAATTATTAGATCGTTTCCGATTTTTTAAAAGAAAAAATTCCCCTTATCGCGCAAAAAGACAATGCTGCAATGCCATTGTGCCATTATGATAGCATGTACCGTGGACACCGCACGTATTCGACACTAGCAACGGGTGCGCGCGAACGATAACAATAATTGATGATCGTTTGCATGGTAGCTAACATAAAACAATGAATGATTGAAAAAAAATGGATAAAAAAACAGTGGTTATTCGATTGCCGATGGCTTATTGTTTCGATCAAAAACGAGCGAAAAAAAGGATTCGGTAATGGACAGAATCGAAAACATTCGATGGAAGGGTGGAGGTAAGCTATTTACCTGTGCTCGACATTGTGGTGTTGGTCATATGGTCGTCGCGTACCGGAAACGTACAGTATTAACGACATAACGCAGCGGTGAGCAAAAAAAAAAAAACTGAATCAAACGAATCACGTTCGAATTCTACTCAATTTCGTCGCAATGGTTTTTCGATTTCTGGATGGACGGTTCGTAAAAAACGATATATATATATGTATATTAAATATATATTGTTGAGAAAAAAGCCAAAGCAGCAAGACCATGATCGAGCGTTGTGTCGGTTGCAATAAATATATATACCTATGATATATACACGTTTTCTAAATGGACAATCAGATGATTTGTGAAGCGGAAACAACTTGACATTAAACGAACTCGATAGACTGCCGCACGTCTGACCAGGGTGAATGCACTTATTTTGCACTATGTGAGTGCGTTTTTCCTGTAATATAGCGTATTATAATACATAGATATAGGTACATACAGAGTCGTGTAAGCCCGTAAGTCCCGTATCTTTGTAATCGTTGTGGTGCTATATTGTTAAATATTACTTAATATTTTATATATACCTATATTGTACAACAATATAAGTTATTTATATCACATAATTTGTTTTAGAACACTTATATGTATACAATTTTATTTTGAGCAATCCCTTCGATGTTCAAACACATTGTTAAAAGATAATATTCATATTTTGTTATAACGACCGCGAAACATCCCTTTATCACGCACGTATGTACTCAGTAAGCTATAACCACTGCAATGCACCTATCTTCATTGCATCATTTATGTTGACCTAGAAATTACTATACGTCACCATGCGACTAATACAATTATAATAATTGTATAGATCGATAATTGTTCGGTTTATATTAGTATAATAGTAATAAAGTATGCATGATATAATTTAAAATATTTTATAGTTGCGTTTTAAATTTAAGAAAAAAAAAATTAGATTTTTATTGAACAATGTTAAAAGGAAACCCCATCAAATAATTCACTTATCATCTTGAAGCAAACAAGTTTTTTTTTATCGCAATCTTCGGGGCGTTCGCACAGTTTTCGTTGATTTCATTATAATTAATTAAACTCTCGCATCATAACTAACCGTGAGTAAATGTAACCTATTTTTATTTGGGTACGATTCGATATAGGTGTCTAATTATAATAATTATATTATGTGCCTAACAAAAATTAAGAAAACAAACTCTAAAGAACTCCATAGTGAAAACTCCAAAAATGACACATATGAATGCTTTGTCATCCACAACACTATCTAAGCCATCTCTTTTTTTCATATCGTATGAACACGTGATTTTTTTTTTTTTTTTGATTTTTTTATGGAAACCACCGTTACAGATTTTACCTATGTTTGGTCAGGTACATGAAGTGTAATGTTTGATATAGTTCACGATTTTGCTGGTAATGTTTGGCGGTTATACGGAATATTTTTACATATTTTTTTTTCATCAATAAAGTTGACCGGATATTTGGAGTACATAATATAGGTGCCGTTTCTATATTAAAAATCCGGGCCTAGTAAACGTTACACTATACAGTAAGAATTAAAAAAAAAAAAAAATTTAAAAAAAATATACGTTTTCAGTATAATATATAATATTATTATATACAAATGCGTAAAAAATATTAATACGCTAGAATGATTGGCGTTATTGCGATATTTCGATATAACGCAAATATGAAAAATAAAAACATGTCCCATGATAATTGATTACCTATATAATTTATATTTTTTCGACGGACGTCAGAAAATCCTAAATAATATGTACACGATCGGATGAGAAAAATAATTTCTATGGATATCGTGTCAGTTTCTATACCGTTTGAATGTTTGACCATCATTTAGTATTGTACATAATACACTATCGATGATCACCATACGAAACGGATTCTATTGTGAAACAATATCATATAATCTAAATACAACGAACGATAATGAGCTCACGCGTTATCTAATGGTACATTATATCGATTACACTTAATACGTATGTGAAATATTATTATGAGGATTACGGCACTGGGTACTGTAACGGGAAATAGTTTCATCCGCGCTTATATTTAATAATATAATGAGTATATATGGATAGTCTAGCTTTCTCTGGTCATCGGTGCATCCTATGCATAATATTGTTATATATACACATAATACATGTGATATAGACAACGCACGTTCAACTTATCCCGGCCACGCGTTAAATTTTTACGTAACGTCCGTCTATTGCTATATTTTTGCTGAACAGTAGTGCACTCTACTCGTGTTAAACAGACGTATAACGGAAGAAGTATAATTATTTTTGAATAGTTGTAATATATAATACGGAAATTCAGCTAAATCTAAATGTCTGAAAGATATTCAACGAGATCAACTGTTTAATGACTGAAAGTGTAGGTTTAGCCAACAGGGATATTATGATGAAATGAAAATCCGACAATAATCGTTAACATCTTTCTCGAGAATATTATTTTATGTGATTAAACTGTAACTGACCTAATGGATTTTCAAGTAGTCGTATTATACAAGTTTTACTTTGATAATGTATATGAATTGTTCATATTACATGATATGATTTGCATCATTTACTTGTTTATTATGTACCTATTTACTTATTTTTTAAACACATAACATAACTTACTTATTTATTTTTAATGTTTAAAAATGTAAAATGTGCAATGTAACTCAGTGTAGGTACTATATTGTTTTTATTATTATTTTTTTTTTTTTTTTAATATTTATTACATTATGTTTCTTATTCTGCAATATGAAACTATCATTTATTTTTTTATTTATTTATTAGCCAATTCATATTTTAAATTATTGAATATTGGCCAAAAGTCTGTTGGTCGAATGAATGTTAGAAATTTGTACCATCCCGTATTATATATATTATATTAAACATATTAAAAAACAATATATATTATTAATGGCTTAGCGCACACATATTACATAAATCACAAATATTAGTTTATTTGAGGAAATTTTATATAAATTTGAGGATATTTTACCCACAACTTTGGGTACTTATACACGTTGAAACAGATCAGCTACGACTGCTTGTATAACAGCGAAATATACTAATTATTATAAAAAAATAAAAGATAACAACTTTTCGAAAAACACCTTAAGTTTTTTTTAATATTATTTCAACAAAAAATTTAAATAGTTAAAAAAATATGAACAAATTAACTTAAAATTAAATATTACGAAGTACACTTAAACGAATTCCAAAATGTGTTACTTTTATATTTATAACAAGTGTTTTAACTTTAAATTCGTACTATACAATCAGTGATATCCGAGGTTTTTCAACGCTAAAACGTGAATTAAAACATTAAAAGCTCCTATAAGATTTCGTAACCACGCAACCCACTTAAATTTATTTTTAAAATTAAGTTTTATCAAAATTATATGTATACTAAATAGCTATTAAAAAACTGCTAGTCATTTATTAGATATTCTATAGTTTGATAAAAAGTGGACTTAAAAAAAAAATACTCATATAATTTGTATGTGTGCACTAATCTAATATATATACATTATTTATATTTACATACACCTACATAATATTTATACATGATTATAATATACATGTACGATTTAAGGATAAATTGCATTATTATCGTGTAAACTTTTATGCGTATATACGAGTATATTATAAGTATATAATATATTTTATCATATAATACGTGTTTCCATGTATCTGAACGGGCTGGACCGATATTTCCGTTCGATACTGGAAGTTTTGCATTATATCCCATATATTATACGCGTAAAACAATAAACTAACTAAATAATAATATAACACTGTATAACATCGACGACGGTGACCCGTTTTGGCGCGATCCTGACAATATTACCTAAATCGAAACGGTGTACATATACACAGTATTATGACAGTAATAACGACGATTATTTATTAGTGATGTACCGATGTGTAACATTATATTATAGTATATTATACTGTATTATAAAAAACGATTAATCAATCAGTCGGACTCTAATAATGGAACGGAAGAGGGGCCGTTTTGAAGTGCGAAATGTATAAACACAGATATTAGCCAAGATTTATAAATATTATAATATAGGTACATCGAGTCTGCAGTACGACTTCCCCTCCGAGCCACCCGGTCGGTTAGATAAGTGGTGCATCCGTTCCGGAGTAATTACTCACGGAGTCTTATTATACAGATCGACCGTACACAATTTCGGGCGTGAACAATGAAGCAAAGATGTATAAATATATTATACACAATATGTAAAACAAGAGAACGAAAAAAAAACCCTCCTCTATTTATCAAAAAAACTATATCGTAAACTATTGTATCACGTCCGGAATTGGGAACGCGCGGGACGGGAAAACCGCGGATGTTATATTTTATACGAACGACACATCTTCTATACGATATTCTAATATTATATACTCGGGATTTCTACAACGACGATCAAAGTAGTTGATATCTACACAATGTTATTAAAATAAAATAGTAAATTTTTTTTCGACAAATTTTGCGTGTGAAACGATAAATAATACAAAAAATATAAAACTCAACGACGTAGGTATATAATTTAGTATATTATATGTACAATAATAATAATAATAATTATTATTATTATTATCGTATAGGCGTATAGTACTCACTTCGAGAATATCATTGTATGGCTGTCGGGCCGCGCTTTTGTGCGTACGACCGCGTCCGTGTAACTGCTGGTGCTGGTGTTGCTGCAGGATCGTCGACGACCCTACGTAGAAGGACGACGGCCTGGTTTAGACGACGAGTTCCGTTCGCAAGTCAGCCTCTGAATTTCTCAAGCTTATAATGTAATATTATAAAATTATGCTAGTGGCACGGGCTACACGCGGATATGCTGCAGCGGCTTGTCCCTTGCGTGCTTTCGGCAACCGTGATCGTGATCGCGGTGACAACCGTCGAAATACGCGATGGCGGCTGATATCAGCAGGTCGCGGTGGTTGGGTCCCGGATCGTTTGTCGCGTCTGACCGAACCGTGTCGTATGCTGTCGTGGACGTTTGCTAGCTCGGGACTCAGGTATGATGGTGCGACTACTACTACTACGACAACGACGACGACCCTTTTCTCTAGACGGACAAAGACGTCGGTGAGGTTTCGATGGCGCCGGTGGACTGGACGTCGTGTGGCGTGCGATCGTCGTCGTCTTCGTCGTCGGCGGGCGTCTTATCGATGAGAGATGCGTTTCTGGTGGTGGCTGGCGCGAATTATTTGGCGGCAGTAGCAGTGGTGGCGAAGAGGACCGGGCGGCAACGTACGGTTTTTCCCACCTGATTTTTTTTCGCCCGCGGATTTCGGCCAATAAACGCGGGGGCCGATTCGAGTTTTCCGAGCCGGAAGATTCCAAAGTGGGGACTGTGGCGGTCGCGGTTTTTCGTTTTTTTTTTTTTCATCTTACTCGTTGCAGTTATAATGTACCTCTCTTTCTTTTCGTTTATTTTTCCCATTGTAATATGCTGGAGTTTTCGCGCGCGTCGTTTCAACGCATCGTCGAACCCGGCCCCCCTCTCTTACCCGTACCACTCATCAATCACACAAGCGCTGCACTCCGCACGTCACCATCTCGGAGCTGCAGAAGAGCGGCGGTGGCGACTAGACGATGTAAAAAAACGTAATAATAATTTCGTCGCGGCCTAAGCATATAACGTAATATCATTACATTGTGTATACCTATACTTTTTATATTTCTGTAGTGCGTGTGCGTGCTGGTATAGCGGACGCACAGGACGTGCGACGACGATGACGACGACGACCTCGGAGTTCAATCGCCCCGGTACGGCGAAAGAGATGGCGACCGCGTAACTATGCATGTGATACACATAATATTATAATATATTATCGTAATATCATCTGTCTGTGATATACTTGTAGGTATATCTGTGGGCTTTAAAATTTTCCGCAAATTTTACTACACTAAACACCTCCCTCCCACAACTCGCGTTATAATCAAATAGCTTCACACGATGCCCACACACATATCACACGCACATTTGTTGTTCATCTTCACGGTCGATGCTTAAACAAATGTCGATAATGACTACGTTTTACTATATCGTTATTGTCGTATTCCGAGAAAGTCATTGTGACGAACGGACCTGTACTATTTGGTCGAGCCAAAGTTTCTTTTAAGTAGCGAAAAGTAATAATTTTTTGGGGGTACTGTAACGTGTCCTGCAACAGTAGCAACTTCAATGTACCAGCGCTATAGAAACAACCCGTCTGCAGTGGCATAATTAGGTACCCACAATTTCAAGAACGCGGGAGAGGAGCATTGCAAATTATATAGGATTTAAAGGAACATTAAAACCCAAAAATTTGGAGGAAACAGATGATAATAACAATAACGCTCGTTTGATAATATGTCGAACGAATACATTACGCAACATCGCTGTCTATTTTTAAGTACATTGACAAAAAAATAATTTTACTTGGGCTTTAAGGTAAAGTCAAGAATAAAACGCAACAACTAAAGTTACGATAAAAATTCCATACGGTCATGCAGATCTTTAACGCAATCGGCATAAGTACTGATTACTAATTCTCTTTATTGGACAATGATGAAAGTTCATTATAGCGTTTTATTAATATTGTTAGTAGTCTGTCAGCCGTCGTTTTTGATTTCTATTTAATTATAATTTATTAGGTATATGAATACTGAATATTATAAATACAAGTATTTTATTATGAATTTTTAAATCATAATAAATTGTAATGTAATTACAATGCATTTATTTCTCATAGCATAATAATAAATAATAATATATAGGTAATACCACATTAATAAAAATTAATTCGAAAAAAAAACAATTTTTCAGGGGGGATAAGTTTTGTAGTTATACCACTGTCCGTTTACCACTTTTCCAACCACCATTACAGAACGCATACAATGTATATAGATCTATATAGATTTGACAAGAAAAAAGACGTTGTTGACTGTGCCCCTTTAAGCACCCTTATCCATGTTCATCATAATCTAAATGCATTATGTCTTATTATCTTCTTTAGAACCTCTCATTTATGAAACTTTTGACAATGAGAATCTCTGAAAAAAATAAACATTACTTGTGTATTGGTTAGTTTGGTAGCTCTCCATTCATTAGTTCATTCGAATTGGCCGAATGTATTTTTATATAATATAAATTGAAAGTCTAAAAGGCTAAAATTTAGAAGCAACATTTTTAAAGAACGACATAACATGGCATTTGTATTCGTTAAAAATATATGAGTGGCACAAGAAAAAAAGGAATATTATCCCTAGACTTTAGAAAATTCAAGTAAAAATAGGATTGGCAAAGCAAACTTTCTAATTAAGATGATTGACTATTTGTCTAATAGTTTACAACAGCGATTCTTAACTTTTTTTTTGTTCCGTACTTCTAAATTTAAAATTTTGCTAGATTGTACCCCTCTTTATAGTTTTTAAACTTTTTCACATAACTACTTTTAAAATATTTAAATAAAAAATAGCAAGCAATTCTATGTTATATTCTATACTCATATCAATTTGATAAGTTGACGGTTAAGTTTTAATTTATGATACAAATTCTCATTTTTAATAAAATATAATGAATATTTTCGAAACGAATCATTTTAAATAAACAAATTCAACATTTTCCGCTATTAACCAATTTTTTTCACGTACCCTTTCCGATCATCTCGAGTACCCTTAAGGATACGCGTACCCTAGGCTGAGAACCACCGATTTACAAGAAAACTGAGAAAATCTTTGAACACATAATATGATACAAAATGATAATTTATAATATACTATATTATAATAAAAGTACATCTTAAACAAAATATAAGGTACTGATCTGATATATTATAATAGATAGTTATTACTGTTATTAGTATACATTTACTGTGATAAATGTATTTCATGTTATATGTGTTAGTATGTTACAACTTATAAAAGTATATTGTTAAATTAAAAGTTATTTTGAAAAATAAGTGACTAAGACACTTAACTTAATTTCAAATTTTAACTCGTTAATACCTAGCCTTGCTATTTTGAATTTTGTATGTTAGATACAATTATTAAGGTTTATGATTAAAATATTGTAAATACGTATTAATTTGAAAAATAAAAAAAAATTAAAAATAAAGAGTGTTACACGTAATAAGCGATATGATAGGTTCTTAATAGATATTCAATTCTAAATTATATTGATTTAATTTTTTGAAAATTATGATAATTTTGATCAAATTTAAAAATTTAATCAATTTAATTTATGAGTTAAATTACGTCCGTATAGCTGACAGCTGTTAGTCGATTAATAAATTACAAAGAAAAAAAATTTTGAAAGGAATGAATCGAAGAGAATACTTACAGGATTTTCACTTAATTTAGATAAACGTTTTGTAGAAACGTTTATTTTAATTTTTCAAAGTAACTTAATGAAAAAAGTTGTTACATTAATTTTGTCTATAATTTTAATATTTATGAACATTTATATTTGATAATTTTAGTTTAAAAAATTGTATTAAAGATAAGTGTATTTATTGTTTCATTTGAATTTTTTATACGTATTCAATACTCATTTTTCTCAATTTTAAATTTTGGTATTAAAATTAAAATAATAATTAATAATCAATTAGATTATGTCATTTATGATATTTTATAAATATTCTCGTATATTATAGATCTATTATAGATTAAATTATATTTATATAATTTCAATCATAAAATTATATGTGTCAGCAGTGATTTATTTTATATAGCACATAAAGTTTAATTAAATTCAGAGATCATTAGTCTACTGATTAAATAATTTATGATTGTGTGTTTTTCCTACCAATATTTCTTATAGGTAAGTTTAAGGTAATAGCTATTAAGCCAACTGGAATAAATGACTTATGATGTTACTCATATTTGCTCTCGTAAATTTATAATGTATTATCTTTATTTTATTAAATGAATTACATTCGAGATCACTTACTGTAACATGCAATAAAATATTTTAAGTTTTTACTTCATTTGATGTACGTGATAAATCATATAATACTATTTTTTTCGGCAATTTCCCACATAATTTGTCTAGTATTTTATACCGTTTGAACGGGAAAATATTCAAAATATATGCTTCTTTAGTTTGAACAAATACAATTTTGTCGTATTATGATGAACTCATTAATATTGACATAAAATCTTGATTAGGTGAAGGTAGGTCGAATAAAAACCGATTCATCTTAGTCGTGAGAAAAACCTACTTAGATTATCTTTACAAGTGATTACCTCTGAGAGAGATCTGAAAAATAGCTAAGTGTTTAAAAGAGCATTTTGAACCAAAACTTGACCAATAGGAAACATGGAAATAAAGAGTCAAGAGAAAAACAAAAATAACATTTCTTAGCCATATCTAAAAACAAATCGTAAAATACAACACAACTAAATAGTATATTATTTATTATATAAGAATAATTAACCTGATATTTTAATAACTATGAAATTAATCGCTGTTATTAATAATTATTATTTATTATATTATTTCATTTCTAGTACTGTTATAAACTTGATGATATATTTATTTATTGTTTCTTATCATGATATTAGGTATTGTGATAATGATTAATTCAAATATTATAGTAATTTTTACTCATTTAATATATAGGGTAATATATCAAACATTAACACTCGACCCTATTTTTTAATTTAGTTATAAATGTATTTAAATTTAAATTTTTTAATATACTTATTGATCATTTATTTCTTGATTGTTTTTTACTAGTTAAATAGTATTTTGTGGCAATTCCAACATCTGTTTTACAAATGGAAAACAAAATTTTTTTATCGTAAAATATTTAATATAACTTATAAGTATCTAATTCTAAATTCTAATGAGTAGTTTTTCAGTTATTAAAAAGTGTACACTATAGTCATTAAAAATAAATTTACATAACTGTAAAACATATGGAATATTAGATTCAGTGTTTAAATTTGAATTGTAGTAATTTTAATTCTGATACGTCAACATTTTCTAAAAATTCGTCTTTTATTTACCGTAGAAAGGGAGAGGATTTACATTCAAGTTATTTCTATCTCTACAGAACACTTCTAGAAAAATCTCAAGGATTCAAAAATACGATCTTTAAGTATATTTAAAAATTATAAAAATCGAATTTAAAATAATTGTATTATTGAAGAAAATAAGTGAAATTATCCTTGATAAATTAATCAGC